TGTGTGTGTGTGTGTGTGTGTTGGGAGGGAGGGGGCTGTTGTATTGTCACAATGTACGGTTGTACAGTTTATCGAGTCACCAGCCACGTAATTAGAGCGGAAAGAGGCTTTGGAGAATATTGTAACAACAGGCAAGTTTGACGGAAAGAGAGGCAGAGGCAGACAGAGGGAAAAGATACTGGACAAGATGACAACATGGCTGGAGGCAGCAAGAACAACAGACACCATTGCTGCAGCGCAGGACAGAGTTAAGTGGAGGTCCATGATCGCCAACGCCAGTCGGCAAGGCACCGGATGATGATGATGATAATACAACATCTTTCGCTACCCGTGTGTCTCCACCGCCCACCAAAATGATCAAGTCGCCCACTTGTGGGTTGTATCGTTCAGACTGGCACGCATTCGGGTAAAGGCTCCGCGTGTCAATACAGCAATTTCGGTGCTGACTTTGTGAAATTCATTGTGGCCAAGGAGGTTACAGTATTGGAGGGTCCTTGATTGAGGCATAGCGAATGGAATTTAATGAATTTATGCATTTTGAATGTCCCTTCAATTCTGCCCTGGCTGCTTGAAATATAGGTTTGGGTGACTATTTTGGCAGACATGTGTTTTTGTTATAGGCATATACCTTAATCAATTGGTTTTGAGTAATTTGAAAAGGCATAATTCAGCTGGTTTTGTATAGATCAGTACCAACGTTAAGGAGGTGATTTTACCTATCTGGATTGTTTTTACGGTACCCAAATTGCAACCCTTAAATATAAAAGTAAAAAAGTTGTTCCCGCATCCGATCCAGACATTGTGGATAGCCTGGTTAGTGAGACAACTTCCTGGGCCTTTGGCATATTCTGGTAGGATGGCCAGTTCTTTTCCACGCCGCCTTTACTTCGCCAACTCGAAGTCAGGTACCCATTACTTCTGGATGGGCAGGAGGGGGCGAAAAAAATCCGTGTGCGAACCGGGGCGGGAACCCAGACTTTCCCTTAAATGTAATGCAGAGGCT